AGCCGAGCACAACAGCTAATAAAATTTGACTCTTGAAATCGTAGAGCAGAGCAACGACTGCAGGCTGCCAACCGAAGAAGAAAGAGAAGAAAAGGGTTCCAATTTTCCATCGACCTGTGCGAGCGGAAGTGACAAAGGACCACGACAACGAGAGGAAGGATTTAATTTTCTTTTTGTCTTTTTTTTCCGTTCGGCGCTGATGACGTACGCTGCGTTTGAGTTTCTGCAAGTTTCGTAGATGAGCTACCCTACATAGTACACGCCTATATGGGCGCCCAAAATAGTATGCCGCAATTAAGTATATCACCAAAACAACTCAAGATCAGGGGGAACGACACTTCAGGATTATCCCATTTTTACCCAAACCTCTCATATAATTTTCAACGTGCACAAAATTTTAATCCATCCTATCTATTCTTTCTATTCCCAACTTATCTCTTCTGCATGCACACAAATTGTCAAGCAAGCCGTGCAGTTTCTCGAAGTTTTCAGGTCGACCGCGAAGCACTCTGCGATACTCACTGTCAGTTTACAACACTCTCCACAACAAACACCACGTAAACGTCAGCTGGCCATGCCGGTAAAAAATCGGTGCGAAAACTAAAAAAAAGATGACGGACCACTCGCCTATAATCGGTCTCGGGGACAAAAAACATCAAGTGCATCACGGAGGAGACGGCTAGACGGCAACGCACATCCATTTCCCGGACTCAAACCGATCGAATTCGACGGATAAGAGCCCGGGTCTCTGTGTGTTGCAGCATGGAAGTTGCCGAACAGGCGCGAAGCAACTGTTGATTTCGTTCGAACTGCTGATTCTAGCCCCGGGAAAAGCCTTACCAATTAAACCCCCTACGACAAGCAGGTGGAAAAGGGATTCAGGTCATTTTTTCCACTCGGCCCAAGTTTTACTTGTCTCTGCTGCTGGTCAAGGGTTCGGATAAGCAAGAGCTAATGGTGAAGTAAGACACCCACCGGTTAATGTATTTCTGTGCGAGAATATTGCGAATCAAATTCCCGTCCAAATACAGCTGGGAATATTAACCGGAACCTTGTAATCCATCGCCATCACCCGTTCCTCCTACTGTGCAGTTTCGACCTATTCGGTGCGGAACCGTTTTCTGCACTTGAGCTGTGAGCTTTGGTTATTATAGTTGGGCGGTGTCCATTAATTCCGTTTCGCTAAAAATCAATATTTTGACCCCCCCCCCCGTTTGGAACAAAACGTTACACTGAAAATGACCCCCCTCTATTTATTACGGAATGCTCTATAAACGCCCCCCCTCTCACCTTTTCATTTAATTAATTTTTGTTTTATTTTTAGGTAATTCATTATATTATTAATATTCAAAACAAAAACAAAAGATCAGCGTACCATCGAGTACCTGCTTTTCAAAAGTTCATGGATAGCAAAAATCTCAATTTATAAAATTAAAACAGATCCATTTTTCAAAGCAAGATTTAGTGATGACAGCTGGGGGCAAGACAGCTGCACCCAGAGTAAATATATTTGCAGCGAGTAAATTTGAGTTACTCATATTTACTCAAAAATGAACAAAGCAGTCTCGATTGTCTGATCAAAGAAATATCGTCTGACAGCATATTTCGTTTGAAGCATCTGTTCGCACATTTGACAGATCGAAACGCTCGTTTAACAAATCGAATTGTGGACAAACGAAATGCTACTGTGGTGGTTTGACTGCACGACGGTTTTACCGGGCTTGGATGCCTTTCAGGCGCCTTCCCTCGTTGGTGAGGATTGACACGGCCTAGGACGATACAGGAAAGACTAGAGTGACCCGTTCCAAAAGGGGAATGCTCCTTTTTGGTTACCTGAGGTACAATCTGAGCTTGAAACTTCGTTCGTGGTCAATAGAATTGGTCCTTGACTGCTGATTGTGGTATATTATGTAGCTGCTGATTCTAGGCCAGATTAGGTCAGCTCTGGCCAGCTTCGCCAGCGAAAAAAAACCACTTCAACTTTAGCGCTTTGCCAGCAATCGTAAATATATCATTGAAAAAGCGTTGCCAGATGTATTGCCTCTAGCAATGAATTAAAGTTTAATAAAACAAGCAATTGTGAAGTTTGACTGAATGTATTTAATGGTGAATAAATATCAGAAACTGAATAAATTAAAAAAAAGAGACCATTTTAGGCATTTTAGCGGTCCAATTAAAAAATTTACAGAAGATTGAATTTAACGCTAACAGGAGGCCACAAACTATATTGCTCTAAGAATTAAATTTAATGAATTATTTTAGCCTAATCCGAATCTATCAAACCGCCCCAGCACAGAAATTACAAAAAAAAAGCACGTCAACTTACTTTGCATGACAGCATCGGTTTCAGCATTATTTTTAATATAACAATCAGGTTGCTATGAGTAGGTATATAAGACATTGAGCAGCGTGAGCTACTCAGAGTTACTCAAAATTAACTTCGGTTTTACTCATGATCGATAGCTGTCTTGCCCCCAGGATGACAGCCTTCGTTGTCGTTGCCAAAAACGTCAAAAAAGACCTGTATTTTCAAACTTTACATCAAGAAACGAAAAAAAAACAAAATGTTCTCTTTGTTACGTAACGCAAAGCTTTACTACTCCTCCCCTATGTATAATTCGTAACGATATAGGTGACTCCCTCTCCCCCTATAAGCGTTACGTAATTCATAGACGCTTCATTGCAGCAAATTTTTCTTCTTTTTACACCTATCCTCTTCGCGTTCAGACTCGTATCCCACTGAAATTTTTTAACACCCCTCACATCACATCAATTGCCTGATCTATTCCCATCTATTTTTTCTATCCCTGCTCTATTTTCGTCAACACGACACACTCAAAAAAATCCCATCAATTATGTTTTTCCCCGAAAATCCTAAGTAATTACTAGACTGAAAAAATACATCCAAATGAGTGTCGTTCCCCCTGCTCAAGATCCAGAAATAAAAACCGATGGCGCTGCAGAATAATGAGGTAACTTCTACAATGTAATGTAATTCGTACAATAATACTCATATTACTCATATTACTTTAAACAATCGTCACGTCGGTCATAGCTTGTTATGATTGCCTGCACAATGCGTAAAGAGCAAATCGAAACATTGAACGTCGCGTGATAGTGGAATTTAATCAAGGCCTAAATACTTTTTCGTAGCCTTTTGTTTTCGGATTTGAATGATCGTTGGTTGCAGTGGCTTGCTTACTGAGCAGAAAAACGCGGTCCCAGGTCCTTTCATATTAAAAATGTATGGTAAGATCGCTTGTTTATCGTGTATTTTGCTAAACCTTTCGTTGTCGTCGGTGCCGGGTTTGAATAGTTATAATAACTTGAGTAACGGTATGATGTGATATGTGGGGCTCGGTGGCCTTAGAGCAACCGTTTTTGTTTACTGAGCAGAACATCCTGAGTCTAATCTCAAGCCCATCCACATCAAGATTCGTCAATCGTTTTGTTAATATGACTACATGGTAATAACAGCAACTCGATGATTAAAAAGGAGCTCGTTTGCCTAGTAGCAAAAGTTTTTGCTTACTGGGCAGAAGACCTTGGGTTCAATCCCAAGCTCCTTCACGTTATACGATCGTTAGGACATCAATTCAGCTTATCGTTTACCAAAACTAACCCTGCTGCTAACCCACCCCTCTTACCCAACATCCCTGTGATTCCTCGTGGAAGTGCAGAGGACTCCTCGGCTTCCATCAAAGCGAGTGTCATGTCAACACATTCCTGCCCATTCCTTGCTTGACCTGCTTTCAGGCGCGGCTGGCGCTGGTATTGCCTAATTCGAGATCACCAGTTTTTATACATTGAAGATGATTGCTAGTCCCAAGCCTCGTCTATTGGTTCTCTGTGTAATTACACCTGGTCTGGCAATAACAGAGTAGCAACCGTGCAGTCAATCATGCTCATGCTCATGCCTAGTTCGGAACCCGCTGCCAAATTATTTTATTTTCTTGCTTCCTTTCAATCACGTTCAACAGTACACTAACGCAAATCATAATTTTATTGAAAGGTCATTAAACAATTTCAGCGTTCTTCTTGTATCCTTGGGGCCCGTGAGTATAATTCCTCTTGTGCAAGAAAATCAACTTTCCTCCTATCCTCTTATTATATGCTTGCAAAAAAAAAAAACACTGAGGTTGGTTGGCGGATCTTCTAGTGCCAATGCGCTGAAATGAAGTTTTCATTTACTTTTCTATTGAAATAACTTCAGATTTCTTCAATTTATCTTGCCAACTTCCATCTGACTTTTTGTTTTAAATGTAGCATTGAATGTTTTATGTGTTGTCATGCGAACAAGGTCTCCAACTCGGTCTTCAAGAAACGATTTTGGTTCATTGTTCGAAAATCCCAAAAGCAGCTGTCAGTGACGATTGTCAATTTCGGTTGTCAAATCTGACGTCAAATGCTAATTTTTCTCTGAACTGGCAATATATAGATAAATAATAACAGATATTACAGTAGAAGAAGTAGGTAATTTGGGATTTTTCTCAAAATTAAGCACGAACAAAAAAAAATTTTGTTATTCTATAAGTCGATAATTGTATAACTCGATGATCCCTTCAATATCTAGTTCTGGAGAATTGACTGTATACAGATCTTCTCAATCTTTTTTAGTGTACCGTACCAAGAGCCGTGTTTGGAATCTGCATTGTGCAGCTCGAACCTTTTATGTCATCAAACCTTCCATAAATAATTACAATTGCTTACTCGAATGTACATCACCCGAAAGAGGAAAAGCACCGAGTGAGACTGTCGAGGCACCTAATGCTGCAAAATACGAGCACGTGTAAATATTCCGCCAAACTTTCTCAAATTTGTTTCCATTTCGTCAAAATGTAATTAAACAGGTATCATCAAACAAGGGTGACATGTTAATTAGCATTACGAAATGTTACTCGGAAAAAGACATCCGCCGCAATTAGCATTTCGCACCTTTCTGCGTATTCCGTTGGATTAAAACTTTTCGTAAGACGTCATCAAATATTAAAGGGTATCTCTTCTTTAATGAAGCAATCGGTTAGTCTATTAGCTCTCGCAATTTCCCCTTCCTCACAACGCATAAACTCGAACGTAGTCAACCTTCAACTCGGGGTCCGTCCACGTTCGGAACCACACGTTCCTATTCTGGTAGAAGAAGTACTCCGCCTTGGGGCTGGTATTGTTCCACGGCTTTGGCTGTTTCATCGGACCGGTCACGGTGTAGTCCGGAAAATCCGTCACGCCTCCGACCCCCACTCCAAGCGAAAGGTAAAACTGTAAATGGGTGTAGCAGAATTGTAATGACACTGTGGACTGAGTTCTACTCAGAAACCAATTACCTCCTGATCGAACGGCGACATTGCATTTTCCGGATTCCAAAGATTCGCCTGCGTGAGATTACTGTCCACACCGTACGATTTGAAGCGGTCCCTCAAGGTTGCATACTGGAATCCATCCACGGTTAGGCTGATGCTGTCCGGCTTCCAGATAAGTCCATAAGTATGAAAGTTATCGCTGAAATGCTGCTCCAATATGTTCGCTCGGAGAAAGGCAGTTCGAAGCTGGGCCCGGGTTGATACGATAGCGCCTCCCCGCAGCCGATGCCCATCAATCTTGATGCCCTCCCGCGTTATCAGATTCTCGTTGGATAGGATGTGAGCCACCAGCAGCATGCCCGAGGCCAAATCTGCGTAGCCGTAGTAGTTCTCGGCCGGCTGCAGGAGCAACTCTGCGAACGCAAAGCAAACGATTTGTATGGATTAGGGTGGCGTTACAGTGACGACCGAAGAATTCCAGACCATCAACCCTTCATTCTTGGTGTATCGGAATTCTCGCAACCATCACCGAGCTCTAAAGCAACAAAAAACACATATTACGTGGAAAAATCCAATCTCCCTTGGGCAGTTTGGCTCGGATCTCCACCCGACCGTACCGAAAGTGGAAGCTGTTTTTGGTGTTCAGCTTCGCGGAAACCACCGGCGGTAGAATCATGGAGAGGGCTGCCTTCCGACGACACTCGTACTCATTGTTGGTGGGTGATTTGCAACTGCGGGTGTGGCGAAACGGAAAAGAACAACAGACCCATCAAACATGAATAATTCGTAAACACCCTCCCACACGTGGTGCTACCACATGGACCGTAAAATAATGAAGTAATTTATTATTCATAGGAACCGGGCTCCGGATTCACCGGAAGTGTGCCTGATGGGCGCACCCTTCCCGTGTAACCGGTTGGATAAAGAAAAGGATCGTTAGGAAAGCCAAGTCATAATTATAAATTAGAGGATACACAAGGTGGGAGTGTAAGTTATAGCCAAGCGGGCAAACGTGTTCATAACCTTAAAATAATATTGGGTGAAAGTGTAAAGTCCGGACCTACCCGGAAAGGACCAATTCGCCGGTGCGAATGCGTTCCTCGTTGAAGTCCGGATTCATGTTGAGCAGCGTCGGAACGATGAAAAGGTGACCTCCGGCGACGTAGCTATTCTCCGGTAAATCCTGGTAGGAGACAAACTCTGCAGACTGGGAGAAATGAACGGTTAATTTTGACTAATTACAAGGAAAACAAATGTCCCAAAGCTTCACAATTATCCGGACTATTTAGGAAAAATATTAATCAGAGTTTATAATTTGCACCTGTAGAGCACAATCTAATTAAAGACATTGGAGACGCGTAGACAAAATCGAACGGAGACTGTAGTTACAACTGACGGTCCTAATTAACTATCATGTAATGATTTTATACGAATATTTTCATTCTGAAAAATGTTTGTTGTACGCTACAGGCAGTTCTGCAAAATGTCAATATCAATACCTTCAAAATGCAGAATATCACTAGCCACCTGATGTCAGTATCAGTTCACACAGTTAGAATATCAATATCCTTCTCCTCAATGTCAGTGCGCAAATGACATTGAAATCGTAAAGGCACCACTGATATTCAAAATTCTGCCGCAAATTTTACTTATATACTCCAGCTAATCGAGTATCAATCTTTAGAAAACTCATCAGTTATATTAAAACAATGCAACGGTTATATAAAAAAGTTCTTCGACATCTCGTCCACTAGCTTGGATTTAATCAATTCTAGAGTGAGCTCGCCGTCTGCTCTGCTCTTCAGCGCCGTAGTTAAAGTGTTGAAAGATTCCGGTAAGCTACGGAGTATCATGGCCACCTGCAGACTATAGTCCAATTCCAGGCCCACCATCGCCAGCCGCTCGAAAAGCGCCACTATTTCGAACACGTGTTGATGTCGTTCGATGTCCTCTCCTCGTCATCAGAATATCTTTTATCACAAATCCTCTTGAGTAACGAAACCTTCGAGGTTAGTGCTGCCTTCTCATAGTGTCCTCTCAACAGGTCCCATGTCTCCTTTGGACCCTTTGATAAGGTTTAACTGACTGTCCTCAAGCAAAAGGCCAATTCTAGAGTAACATTTGAAATGGGCCTATGTCCAAAACGTAAACAAACCAGAAAATGAATTTTAAATTTTGGCCGCCTCTATTCAATTCATATTTAAGAAAATTGAAGTATTTTAGGCATTTATATTGTTCACAATAACAATAGTAACTGTATCTCAGTATACAACATCCAAAATATGCGAAAACCTTTCAAAAATATATGAAAATCGATAACAATATAATTTCATAAATTAATAAGCCTTTTTTGTGAATCTTTCAATGGATTGGCCCTTTTTGTTAAGCCGTTGTGCTTGTCATCAGAAATGGTAGGCCCTTTGCTAAGCCTTTTCGCAACGTCAAATAAATTCAAAACAAATCATCGGCCCTGCCTCAAGCAGTAGGGCCTAGCTTTGGTTTGAAATTTTTCAATCATCGGCCCTTCTACGTCACTAGGCTTAACAATGAAATGAAATAAATGAATGGTTGGCCGTTTTAGTGTGCGGGCCTATAAATGAATCGAAAAATTTCGTTGATCGGCCGTTTCGAAAATCGAGTTATTTTTAATGATTTTTCTCGATTATGCGGAACTTTCTTACACGATTAGTAGCTATCAAGCGGTGCTAAAGAATGGTATCAAAACCCGATTTGTTTACGTTTTGGACATAGGCCCATTTCAAATGTTACTCTAGAATTGTCGCACGCGCCTTCTCGTCTCGGCTGTCTCACGCTTCAACTGCTGCTACATTGCTGGCCTAAGTTCTGCACCGAGTTCTGGTCGTTTCCCAGCTACGTATTTCCAGAGGTCTTCCCGAATCAGCAGGAATTCTAATTTCGTTTTACAGGTTGAATAATTTGATCCATTAAGCTTGATAATGCCGAATCGTTCCATTTGACTTTGATATTTGAATTTCTTCAATCTTCAACAACACGAACGGAAAAATTCTTGAAACATGAACGTGAAAATTTTCACTCTTGTTTTTTGGTTGCTACACGGCGAATGAGAACAACTCAAATTTGAGTTTAGTTCACTCATAATCGCCAAAAGTGCAGGAACTCAGCGATGAGTAAAATTTGTCTTATGGTTTCCTGTGGAAAACCTAAAAAATCTGCCGGAAAATGAGGAAATTGACGAAAATTTGATTCAGTCTCGGAGTAGTACCAATAGACTGAGTGAATCCAATCTTTACTTTTCTCAAATTCAGGAATTTTTCCCTGGAAAAACCTGGGAAAACATGAGGCAAGTTTACTCATCGCTGAGTTCTTGCACTTTTGGCGATTATGAGTGAACTAAACTCAAATTTGAGTCGTTTTCATTCGCCGTGTACGATATCGTTCCAATTAAGCAAAGGCCCATAATCTCTTGGAAGGATAAATAAAGACAACCCTATGTGTCACAATATCAGCTTCTATCGACCAAATCGATGCGGCGAAGAAATTGCTGACTTTCTTTTTCTGTTAAAGTCGAACAGCTTCGCATCATTCTAGAACCTCAGTCGACGAGCACAAACAAATCGACAGTGAGCATGCATAAGGGCGAATACGCGATGATCGATTCTCTTCATCGATTTTCTCTTTGCATTGCCACAGCTAAGCGAAACATTTTTCTAGAATTTGTTCAATGCAGAGTAGCAACAGGTCGTATTGGCTATCAAAAGCAACAGCAAACGCACCGAGAAACGTTAAATCTAGCGAGTTATTAACAAAAGAGAAAATCGACGAAGAGAATCGATCATCGCGTATAGGCCCTTATGCATGCTCACTGTCGAAATGTTCAATCGCTTGTATCTCTTTCTCCCGTCGCTCCATTGAACTTTCTTTCAAGCTACGGTAAAACGGACGGGCGACTTTGATAGTTTCGTCTTTCATGAAACACATCAACGGAGGTTTCATGACGTAGGGGAAATGGATGTAATGTCGGCTTTAATGCCCCTAATTTGAGCCCACACACTTAGAAATACCTAACATTACACGTGACGGAATCCATCTTTGACATAAAGAATGAGGCGTAAACAAACATGTCCTGTAAAATTAAGCCCTCCGAGACTGAAAAGTTCAAAAGTACGTTTGATTGAGCTTAATTTCGCGTCTATTATGACTCAATTTTATGTTAAAATTGACGCTCGTATATGTCACTCTCAGAGCACCTAAATTTACATGAAATTTTCTAAGTGTGCATACATAAATTCAGCAATCGATTTAATTTTCAATAGCGACCAAAAATTTCCTTTAGTACTGTCCCAATGACGTGTTCATCTAGATAAAATTGATAAATAGCAGATTTTTAGCGATGGTCCCAATCTTAGATCCATAGGTCAACATTAGAGCCATCTCCCCTATATGACGGAAAATGAAAATATTTATTTAAAGCATTTCTCACGTGAAAACACTTGAAGATTACACGTAATATGTTTAATTTATCTTCCATCCACATATTAACCTAAAAAAATTAACGATAGCGGGACATAACGCATTTTAAACAACTTGAAAGAGCGGTGATAGAGTGCTCGTGAAAGGGGTTGAAAGCCATCATGAAGTTTCGTTTAACTACAAAATCGACGTTACTTGCATTGAAAGCGATGAGCAAGATGAGAGGATCCACAGCCAGCCTTTCCTTCTAACCGTGCTTTTTTTTTTTTCAATTTCGTTTCTTGCTGATAGTCTAGCTAGGCATTGTAGAAATGAAGTGTTGAACATGTTCACGAAACGAAAATCAATTATTTAGGGTTAACTACCCCATTTCCGGCTTATTAAGCACAACCCGCACCTAGTCTTCTTAATCTAGCGCAGTTTAGCACCAAACGGAATGTTATTATTACTTATGGCTTCCAAATTTATTTACCTTTCTGTACGTACCGTACAATTTGATATATAGGTGTGTGCTGCGATGGAGTAGTAATTGAAGGAAATGAGGTTCTGATGTGGATTATAGGTAATTCTAAAATAGGTAAATCATGCAAGCACACACCTTTCACAATTCTTATCCTACACACCTAGAAATACCTAATTCTACACGTGACGGACCCAACAAACAATTGCCTATTGAAGAAACGACTTCTTGACGATTTTATTCCACTTCATGCTTAATAATACTTGTACTATTTTTAATAATAACTTCTGTTCAGGCTTTGTTCACACAAATCTGGAGAATTTATTCAACCACAACATCGAAATATTTGGTGTTGAATAAGGTATGTCGAGAAGCTTTTATTCGACTTACAAAAGTTGTAACAGAGCTTATTCGATCAAATTTTTGATTATTCAGCGTTTATTAGACCATCTGTACTTTCTTAAACAGCGATGGTAAGGTATATATTAAAGACGCTTGATTCTCATGTGAAATAATGTTTAATTATTACATCATTATACATTTATTAAACGATTATTCAACTACGGGATAATTAATCCGAAAATAAGAATGGCCGGAGCAGGGTTGTTTTCGTTAGTGATTGTTGTGTCATTATTTCTGTCGAACTTATTACATACATACATACATACACACACATGTCGTTAAATGGGATTCGAACCATGACCTTCCGATCACCAGCCGCTTGCCTTGCCATCTGAGCTATCCTAGAATACATCATATGAGCAGCTAAATAAGCAATAAAAGCTTGAATCTGAAAACCTATCAGCACTTCCAGCCGTAACTCTAGCTAATTCAAGGAGATGTGAGAATGATTAATTCATTCATAGTTGTTTAACATTAGACCAACGTTACCTCTCCATCTATCTAATTTCGATGGAAAGGATGCTATTCTTTTCTATAAATCTATGAATTGGTTGTCGTGAGTGATACGATTTATGATTACGATTTAAATTAATTAGGAGTAGAACATAAATAAAAAAAGGGTTGAGGCTGGGATTGAACTCGCGACCTTCTACTTGGAAAGCGGAAACGGTAACCACTATGCTACCAATTTCGTTTTGTTGTTAGCCTGAAGAACTGTTGTGGAATAATGAATGAATACGCCGTTTGTAAAGCATTTATAAAGCATGCAATTAAAAAATGGACGCATAGTGGTATAAGAGCTATTATGCTGACTGTATTCACCTGTATTCAGCAATATTGTTAAGCAATGCAATGGAATCTAGTAATGGAGCTTGAAAACAATTATTAGACGT